TGAAAATATTTGATTAAAGAAATAATTATTAAAATATGAATCTTCACATTTTCTAAGAAATAAATTAATATTACCTTTATATTAGATTTTTGTTCTGTAAAATTTAGATATTATTTAAATCATTAAAAATGTTTTCTATTTACTTCTTGATCTATATAATGAAAGTTGTGTATTCAGATTTCAAAATACTATTGAATTCGGAATAACCTTATTGGATTGAAGAATTTTCGAAATTAGATATAATTATTTAAGAGGGTAGAGTTTAAAGATTGTGTTCATGGTTTCAATACCTTCCCTTAAGTTCAATAGTTTATTCTGATTCATTTGGAATATTAGATAGCAATTGTTATCATTTATTTAGCTCTGTTGAGAAGGAATCAAAATAGTTAAATTTCTTACATTATGATTGCTTAGATTTGAAAGCAATAACTATCACTAAAATAATATAATTTATAGATAGTGATGATTAACAATATAATTTTGAAATGAATATAAGTAGTTTTGATTATGAAAATTAATGGTATTAATTTGATTTTATTTTATTTCCAAATGAAAATAAATTTTAGATAATAATAATAAAGAATGAATAAATCATTAAAGATGAAATTTTAAATGTAGAACCATTTTCAAATGTTAAACTACTTTAGAAAATAGGAGGAAGTTTACTAGTTGAATAATCAAGATTATCAAATATTGAAAGGGGAATGAAGTTTTCATCATTTCCAGGAAAGATTATTCCAATTAAGAGTGATGATAAAATGAAAGATTTTTCTAATTATGTTATTAAATTTATGGGGTCTAATAAAATATGTACAAGTTAAATCAATATAATTGCTGACTGTAAATGTTAAAGCAATACTTAGAATAATAATATAGGTGATTATGATTTTTTTAGAATTAAACACAATAATTTATAATTCTTAAGATCCAAATTGTAATTTATTTTTATTATCAGGATGGTTTAAAATAAAAGAAATTATATAAAGTGATATTAAAATGACCTATTAATTTATTAAAGTGTCATCAAATTTATAAAGTATTTAATTTTCTAATGAAAATTTATCTCCATTTTAACTATTTGACTATTTCTAAGAAGATTCTAAAAAATTGATAATAACAAGTTATAGTTATTAATTTCCATCTGTAAGTTTAGATTTTCTTAATAACCTTTTTTTTAACAAGAGAATTCAATATTAATCATAATATTTAATTATGGCATCTTGTATATGTAAGATCAATTGAAAATGACTTTTATATTAATATCAAATTTTATGATATCAAACAAGTATATGAATACAACATATAATTGATGGTATATCAATTTCATCAAATATATTATAAACTTATATTAGAAAATTATTAATAATCAACTATTAACTATATAAATATAATAGGTAGAAACGTATATTTATTTAATTGCAATACAAATTTTTTATAATAAAATTGTCATCATAGTTGTTAAGAATGTGATGGTTCCACAAATGAAGATTGTTTATCTTGTTCATTAGATTCATAAAGTATTTATCTTCCAGAATATAAATAATGTATTTTTCAATATTTTACAATTGATAATTATGATTGTAAGAGTTATTCAGATTTCAAATGGTAATTAATTTCTAATAGAATAAAAAGTGGAATGTAAGTATGGATAATTAGAAATAGATGGATTATGTTAAGATGGTATTTCTATGTAATTATTGTAGTCCTGGAATAAGAAACTAAGAAATCATAACATTTTTAGAATGTATATTAAATCAAAAAGAATGGAGTTAGAATCAATTTTGTTAAACATATTTATAATTAAATCAAGATGGAAGTACTTCAAAATTAGAGAAAATCAATGGTAATATTATTTCAAATTTAATGGAATAAACCTTGAATTATGTGTAGAATGTGTAAAATCTAATTTACTAGATTAAAATAATATCTAGTTAGATAATAATTTTAAATTACAACAATTTAAATAGTTTTGCTTCACTTAAAGTTCTAATAATATATGTTACAAATGTCCATTACCTTATTGCAAAATATGTAGACTTTAATTAACAGGAACAGTATGTTTATTATGTGAATGGGATAGTGAATTAACAAATGGATAATGTACAATTAGAATTTGGAATAAAGACAAAAATTATTGTATATTATCCTATTTTATTTCTTCTACTAAGGATTGTAAAAGATGTTCTATAAATAATTGTTTGCATTGTTTTGAATATGTTTCTGATAACTTAACAAAATTTACACTTTACTGTATTGTAAAATAATATTTTTCTAAATTATTATTTTAGAATACTTTTTGACTTATAAATAATCTCTATTAATAATAAATATTAAATCTAAATCTTTTGTTGTTTAGTCCATCTTAAAGAAAAGCAAAAATATTATTATTGGATATAAAAGTGATTAATTGTTTTTCATTCTTAAATCAAATAATTAAAGTCTAATTTTCATCAAAAAAAAACAAAAAATAATTTAAACTAAAAATTTTAAATATTACTATAATTTTTAAAAAATCAGCTAGGATTAGATATTTTGAATAATTTGGACAATTTACTGAAATTACAGAGATTAATAGAGATAATGGAATGTTTAATATTATAGGAGGATAAGTTATGATTGACTAATTTATTATTTAAGTTATCATATTATCCTAGATTTTTTAAATTATTAATTCAAATAAAATTTTGATGAAGAATGTTTATATAAGTGATTTTTCTGCTTTATATTAACTACCATTAATTTTTATTAATTAATAATTAAATTTGATGGTTATACTTTAAAACATAATGATTTAAAGATTTTCAATAAATTAAATGAATTATATTGAAGAAAACATATAATAATATGTAGTTGTTGAATGCCAACTTAAAAAATTAATCTTAGTTGATGATTATAGTTCTTAAAATTTTATAAAATAAAACATCTAATTATTATAGTAATAATCAACTAAAATAGGTTATCCATTAATTCAATTTATAAGTTAAGTTAAAACTATTAGGTCAGGTTTATTATAAATTAAGTAAAATTAACACAAATCAATTGTTAAAATTGTTCAAAGGGAATTTTGTTTTTTCATCTTAATATATTTAATTATGTGAAAATTAATGAGTTTTTATGTATTTACAATTCAATCAAAGAGAATGGATGTTTACATTTTAAAGGTAACTCCTAGAACTATAATAAAAAAGTTACAGTATGTAATTCTGATTTCATTTTAAATAAAGGCAGTCAAGGTGGTGCCATCATGGCTGAAAAATAATATTATTTATAAGCAGATGCAAAATAATTGGAAATACAGTAAGCTAGTTAGGAGGAGGTTTATATGCTAATATCAATAAATATGAAATTAAAATAAATAAATCTATTTTTATTTTGAATAAGGCTAAAGTAGTAGGAGGAATTTATTTTGCATAATAAAATAATTTAAATGAAGAAAACTTTTCATAAACAATTAATAATACCAAGTAATTAGAAAATAAATAGTTATAAAATATATGTTCCAGAATTAAAAATATTTATAAATTACATAGAAAATATGCTTATATCATTTAAAAATCGATTTAATGAAAAATTAGAAGATTTAAATAATTCATATTGTTAAGTTAAAATAGCCATAGTTTATGAAAATAATCAGAGCGAATGATAAGAGAAAATTATGAGCAATTTATAATTAGATTAAAAAAATAATGCCTTTGATTTAAGNGTTACAAAATATATGTTCCAGAATTCTAAATATATATAAATTATATAGATATTATGCTTATATCATTTAAAAATCGATTTAATGAAAAATTAGAAGATTTAAATTATTCATATTGTTAAGTTAAAACAGCAATTTTTTATGAAAATAATCGGAGTGTATCATAAGAGAAAATAATTTACAATTTATAATTAGATTAAAATAATAAGGCTTTTGATTTGAGTTCTCTATCTTTTAGTTTTGATCCTTACAATTAAGATTAATAATTATTATAGATAGGATTAAATTGTTATTTTGAATAGAGTTATTAAAAATTATAATATTTAATTTATGCTAAAACTCTTAAATGTTAATTGGGAGAATTCTATATTGATAAAGGTTGTTAAATTTGCTAATCAAATTAAGGATTTTATTCTGTAACATATAACACTACTAAATGTTCAATATTTGATAAATAAAAATTTGAAAATATTTCATCTAATTAAATTAAATTGTTATCAGGATATTGGAGACCGAATTATCTTTCAGATTATACAGAATATTGCTTTAAAAACCCAACATTTTGTATCGGTGGTTGGGATGTTGGACATAATTTATGTAGTTTGGGTCATATAGGAGGATTATGCGAAGAGTGTGATATTTTCGATTAAAGAGGGAAAGGATAATTTTATAAAAATTTATCAGATTTTTAATGTTAAGAATGCAATAAAATTTGGAAAAGTATGTTATCTTTTATATTTACTTCAATATGGTATTATTAAATTAATTAATATTAAGGTCGTTTCTTTCAATATTAATAACTTTAAGAAGTATTGATAAATCAAATAAATTGTTCTCACCTCTTAAGATTGGATAAAAGTATAGTAAAATCATATTTAAATTAAATTAAGGTAATTTAATTATTAATATTAATAGATCATGAAAGTATTCTTATCAAAATGTTACTGAATTATCTTTGGATATTTTCAGTTATTTTTAATTTTAATTTCAGATTTTCTATTTCATTTAATTTTATTGAATAAACAAGTAACAAATTTTTTGTTATGATTCATAATTTGGATTACTATCTATCTTAAATCTAAAATATAGAATTAATCTATTTAAGATTAATTTTTATGTTAATATTGAGTATTATTCAACTATTAATTATTTGAGCAGGATTTACCATTTAGGCAAAGTGCAAAAAATAATACTAAATAGAGGTTTTATTTCTAATACCTTATTATCTTTATATGTGTCTAATTATACTGCTTTAATTAAATAGTAATTAAATACATTATAATTTAGGTTCTGTTCCATCATTTCTAATAGATAAATTTCATAAATTTCCTATATATAAGGAGATGTATCTCTTCTATAGGGAACTCCTAATCATATATCTTGGATTATTTGTTTGCAATACCAGGCCTATGAATTTTTTGTCTCTTTATCCCTTTCTCATTATTTGTTATTATGCACATAAATAGAGAATAATTGGATAAAATAAAACTCAGAAGACATATTTGCTATTTATATAATGAATATAAAGTTATTATTGGGAATCAGTTAAACTATCAAAAAAAAAATTATCATCATTATATTGACATAATTTTGAAGGTAATATTTTTTTTTAAAGCATCACTTCTAGGATTGTGTTTACTGGTATATTAAATGGCAGCAGTAAAACAAAAACCTTATATTATTTCAAATTTGAATTTCTTAGATGTTTAAACAGGGTAATTTTGTTCTAATACTATATTCCTTGCTGGAGCAAAATTATGTATGTGAGTAGGAAAATTACTCAAATTTATCATTGGTTCTTTAAATTTGTATAGCGCTTCTTTGTATCAGATTATGTTACTCCTTTAAACATTCTTTAAGTTTATTTTAAAAAATATAAAGTACTTTGTGTCGAAGTAATGTATAAAATTTCTAGATTTTTAAAAGCAGATTGTTTTCTTACTGTATATTTGATTAATCAACTCAAAAAACTAAATTAAAGAGAATAACGTCTAAGAAATAATTTTACAAAAATATGTTGTCATTTAATGTCAATGTCAAAGGCTTAGATAGGACAAACAATCAGATATCGATAGACTATAATAGATGTAGAAATGAACAAATTGATAAATACTTGAATGGCTGAATATTTGGTTTATAGAAATTAAAAAGATTAAAGATTACTTTATGATATACTGATACCATAAAAAAAATAAATTTAATTTCATAAAATAGATTTCATCTTTATAATTTCCCTTTATTTTAAAAAAAAGCAAGTTCTAAAATATTTCTAAATATTTATTATTATTTTATAGATTTTTCATTTATAACTATTCTTAAATAACATTGATTATTTACTTATTTTATGGTTATTAACATTAGATTGATATATTAGAAATTAATGAATTAAAAATCTGACATAAAGATTTTATCTATCAAAAGTACTAATTTATATCTTTAATGTTTTCGAATATAAAATCAAATGTTTATTTTTTTTTTTAGTCAATCATAATTTTAATATTAATCTAATTAGATTAAAAAGTAGTTTTGAAAATTTCTTAGAAAATTAAATGTTAATTATTATAATAAATAAAATGAAATTCTTAGTTGCTTAATAATATTAATATTTAAACTTATTATAAACTCATAAAACTTTATTATTTCAGGACAGAGAACTTTCCGATTATTCCTTTTGATTTTTGCTAAATAATTCAGAATTGAATTGAATTATTGACCCCGCTATGACATCTTGAAAATTGCAAAAAGAAGATTAGATTAATAATTATTTAAAGTTCTCTATTAAATAATTCAATATTATCAATGTATGAAGGATTCTAGTCTCCAAAAATTTGTTTTCTGAATATTTTTCCAAATAAAAATAAAAATCAAATTCTGTATTAAATATATCCATATTATCTTTTTCGAAATAGAAATTTATATTATTTGCCAAAAATAATGAAGCACTATCATTTTACTTTCATATTCAGAAGAAAACCTGCAAAATTTATATTATACAATTAATTCTGCTTTCAGATTTATTGTCATAAGTACTTAAAACTAAATCTAGAGCAGAATTTAATAATTCAAATATTTGATTAATCATTGATTCAGATTCTTCAACTTGATTATTGAGCTTTTAAATCTTTTAAAAAATTTCCAAACTCAATACTGAATGAAATTGAATATTGATTTGTTATAAATCTTTAGAAATTAAATTTATAGCATAAAAATAATTAAAGAGATGCCAAAATAATGAGCGATAATATAATTTCTAATCTAGACTTAATTGTTTTTTAATTATTATAAATCTTAATTTTTTCTACTAATTTGTAAAGAATTTATTTATTTTATGTTTTAAATAAAAGGTTCTAAATGCTAAATCTAGTTTCCTTTTTTTTAATCAATATCTTTTTACAAACCTTTTATTTTCTCCTTATACAATTTAAGATTGTTTAATATTTCAACCTAATTTTCATTTAATTGAGATGGAACAATTTGTAAAAATTGATTCTCTATATTATTGATCACAAATTAATATTATTAATGCTAAATTTAAGAAATTATATTATTTCTCTGCAAATCCTAAAGTTCTTCCTTGAAAATTTGTAATTCTTAATTAATAGAACTTAAAATTTCAACTTTGAAGAAACATCATCTTGTCTTTTGAAAGTTGAAATTACAATTTTTATTAAAGTGTTAATTTTAATGAACATTCAAGAGGACTTTCAAAATACTAATAGGCTTGATTAAATTGTTTGAGAGAAAACTAAAGAAAACCTAAATTAAATTGATATAATGGGTTTTCTGGCAAAATTCCTATGGCTTTTCAATAATCTAATATTGCTTAATCAAATATTGCTTAATCAAATATTCCCTAATCAGAATAGATAAGTCCTTTTGTAAAAATAGGATTGATTACCTCTATTATAATGAGCAGCACTATGCTAAGAATTTATTTTAACAGCTTTTGAATAATCTATTATTGCCTCTAAAAGTTTTCCATTATTTTTATATGCATTGCCTAAATTTTTTCAATTGGCCTACCTCTAATATAGAATGCATCTGCATTAACCTTTTGCAATTCTATTGCTTTAAAACAATCCTCAATAGCTTCATTGAATCTTCCAAAATTTACATAAGAATTGCCAAAATATTTATTTATTAATGATTACCTCTATTATTATAAGCAGCGGCATATTGATGATTAATTTCAATTGATTTAGAGTAATCTCTTATTGCTTGATAAAAATTTCCTAAATTTATTATGCATTAGCTCTTTCTTGAAGGTTTAATTACCTCTATTATTATATGCTTGAGCATTAGGAACCCTCTTAATGTATTCTGTATAATCCATTATTACTTCTTTAATTTACCCTATTTCCCATGTAATAATCCTTAACATAAAGAACTATTCAAACCTCTATTAAAGTAGGCTGCACTATATTATGGATTAATTCTTATGGCTATAGAGTAATCCTTAAAAACTTCTTCAAAATTCATTAAACTTGAAAATGCATTTGCTAATATTTCATAAATTTGAATTACCTCTAATTTGAAAAGCAGCAGCATAAGATGGACTTTTTTCAATAGCCTTGTTATACTCTATTATGGCTTTTTCAAATTTTCCCTGCTTTTAATAAACAAGGCCAAATTATAGTAAATTATCAATTACAATTATTTAAATAACCATAAGCAAATCTACTTTAATTAATTGAATTATTTATTCAATAAATATTTGAAATAAAATTCAGTTCTGTTTAAAATAAGGATTTATGGAAAAAATAATAGTATATATAAAATAAAAATATTAAGAAATTTTACAAGAGCTTCATAATTCCTCTTTAAATTAAGTAAGTTTGTAAAATGTTATTTTACTTTATTGATCTATAAATTGTTTCAAATTTTAATAATAGATGAACTATTTCTGTACATTAATGAAAATTTAGATCACCTAATCTTTATAATATTAAAGTTAAATATTCTTTTGAATTAGAGTTGATTATTTTCAAATTAACAGTAAAAGGCCTTGTATTTTCAATATTTTTGGACTTTTTTTTTTTTATTTTTCTAGTTAAAATTAACTGTTCAATATTCAAAATTATGCATAGTAAATTTTTAATTCTAACACAGCAAAGTATAATTATACAAAGATAAGAGAAAAGTAGTGAGACTTGTTAAAAATTAAATTTACTTTATCCTTTTGAAATTTATATCTGGCTGATTATTTTTATATAATGTATCATATTAAGAACTACCCTCTTTACCTATCAGAATAAAAAATAACTTAAATTTGTAAGAAGATACTTATCATTTAAAGGTAAAAGTTTAATTTCGATAAGATTGAATGAATGCAGATTTAATTATATTCCATCAACTCTAACGATTTGTAATTGTCTTTAATAAAAATAATCACAATTATCCAAATGTTCAAATTTTATAATTATTGTTTAATATTATAGCTTTATATTGTTAATTAAATTAAACTAAAAAATAAATAAAAAAGATGGGGAGGAAGATTTGATTATGGATAGTAATTTAATAATTCAAATTTATTTTATTTATCTGAAATTTTTCAATTTTTAAATATTAAAATTGGTATACACAATTATTTAATCAAATTTTTGGTAAGCTTAATTATAGATATTTTTCCTATTTAATAAAATACAAAAATATAAAAATCCAAAATATTCAATCAATTTTAGTTAAGTTGGTAAATTATAAACTTGCAGTCCTTCTTCATTTCTAGTTTTACATTCTGAATTTAAGATCTGGTTATTAGCTGTTAGAAAGACCCCATATTAATAGCAGAATCCTTGCTTAGAAATAAAGATAAAGATAAAATTAAGAGGGGGGGGGAGGAAAAAATAACTCCAATTCCCTTTTAAAATATGTATTTATTTTAATAAACAAAACATTAGAGAAAAAATAACCACAACGAAAACTTTCAGTTTCAAAATATTGAATTTAATTATCTTTATTAGTTTTATAAATAGTTAAGAATTGATACTAATATTATTGATTTTTACCTAAAATAATAAAATCATATTTCATTTCAAAGTTTCAATTTGATATAAATTTTATAAATACTATATTGTATATCTATTATAATAAAGATTAGATAATAATAATAATGTCAAAAATAATTTGTTATTTTACTTAAATCCCAACAAAGGTTTCATCTGAATTATGGATAGTATATTACTCTTCATATTATTTTTCTAACTCATTAACTCAACTATATTATATTACCA